GTCGAATTTTTGACAATTAATATATTTTGATAAAATATATGTTATTCGATGCAATTTTTTATGCTGATTCCGAATATCATGTTTACTTTGCATTAATATCAAACTGTAATAATCAAATTCTCGAAATACGAAAGTAATTTTTTAACCTTTTACCATCGATTTCGAAAAAATTGATTTTCTCTGCGAGAGTAGAAAGGTTTCCAAAATCGATAGGTAACTTTGTTCTTTATAGAATGACGATTCGAATGATGTGCCAATATCAGGAAAAACTCTTAGCCTAACAGAGTTGATGCGTTTGGAACAATCGGATGTCAATATGTCTATATACGAGTCTATTGTATTTTACTGAGAGAGACGAAAATGAGAAAATATTGGCAAACACACATGGATATACTTGTTTTGAGATGATGAATCTGAATAAAATAGTTTCGGAGAGTTAAACTGAACGTAAAAGGATGAAAGCTTCGATTCTCTTGTTAACTGTCAAAATTCGACTTTTTCTCATGCTGTTTGTATTTTGAAGATTTTTCGCTCAAAACTTGATCAAAAATAGATAAAAAGGTGATATTCTTGATCAGTTCGATGAGCTCTATCGAATGATGTATGATTGAACATAATCTATTATTTTGCTTCTCTTTTGCCTTTGATGCACCTTAGTATCGTTAACTATTCTTTTACTGTACATCGATGACTGTTGTTTCAAAAGAAGTTGGATCCATTCGAATGTATGCTGTTTTTGTACGTGATGATAAACAAGGTAACAGTAGTTTAAGAGCAAGTAGCAATAGAAATTGATGAAGTTTTTTAACGTGAATAGTCAAGTTTCTGTCTTTTTCTTTGTATGCATACTCGCTCTTCGTTGCAGAAATGTTTGAGTCAATAAAAGGACTAAATGAGATTTTTCGAAATGCGAAATATCACAGTGATCATACACGACATTTCTTAAGAACTTTGTGTTTTATTCAAGATTCAGTCCATGACCTGGACAGGGTCCAGCCTATTCGAAGCTCTGATAGTTACTAACTTGTTGCATCCACTATGATTACTCAGTACAATTAGTACAAATACACATAGTATTAGAACGTTTTTAATACTGTAAGTATCTATCAAAATGTCGTCGATTTGACTTTCGATGAAATACATACTGACTCGATTTCTGTTTATTCTTTTCTAATGGTTTAACCTAATCAATAACAATCTCTTCGTAAGATAGTGTTTCTTTTATGGTCTGTCTTTCCTTACAAACAAACATTTTTATTTTTCATCCGATTTCAACCAAAATTGCAGAAAATGTTAGTCTTGGCTAATATAGATTATGGTTAAAATATCTCCCCAAATCTGCAAAAATTCGTTCAAATATGTGCGTATAGTTGAACTTGTAATTATACATTTGAATAATAAATCTACTTAATATTAGCAACGATCTATTAAACAAAAACAATTTTTCGGTACATATTCTCCGTCTTATGATTCATATTCCAAATATAAACACGAATGTACTATGTACTAATCCATACAAATATTGCCTGATTATGATAAATATTGATAACGGTCGTTTTTTTAATATTATTTTGTTTTCGCTCATTCTTTCGATCTATACACTTTCGTTAAACTCTTTCTTTCATAGTTTATTTTACCTGTTCATCAATCATCCAAATACATTCAAGTTCAAATGAAGGTGGAGATATCAATGGATAATCATTTGGTAAAGTAAAACGAAGAAAAATTGGTGGTAAATATTGAACACGACGACGTTGGTCTATTTAATATAAATTAAAAAAGACATTTGATAATAAAAAATTTATTTTCTATACTTGAATAATATTCAATATACAATTCATCAGGTAATGTTACTTCAACAATGAGAGTACCATAAGTTATGTCTATTGTTGTTGATTTTTCATTTATTTCAAATGCTGTTTCATCAAGAATACTCTTTAGAGCATCAAGTTCATCTCGTTGAATTTCAGAAGCAGTCGATGACATGATCTTGAAAAAACTAAAAAATAAAATTTTCCTTTCTTGCATCATTATTTATATTATTTATGAAATGATAATGAATGTTGAACAGTTTGAATGAGAATGAAAATGAGGTTGAAAGAATGAAAAAAACCATGAATATAACGGGATATTGTTATGGCAAAATGCGCATGTGTACTTCAATCATAAGTACCAGAAAAACGATATCATATTACAAGTATGACTGTTGATTCGTTTTCTAGTTAGTAATTTGTTCTATCTGAAGACACAAACTGAGTTTTCTTTCTCTCTCGAGAATTTATATGATCCATATGAAGTAGATAATTGTCGTGAAAATCTGAGGAAGCACTATAAAATAAACAGATCAGTAGCAAGCATCAGATGATAATGGCGATACTTAAGTCGAAAAAAACATGTAAACGAAAGAATCTAAAAGAGAAACAAAAAAGCATATATAAAAAAACAAAGACACATTATCCTAGGAGATTCCATGTAAAAGATTTTGGTCAAAATTTTTTATATAGGATTATATCTACCACAAAAGATACACAAAACGCTTGTCGCAATAACCACATGATGTCATTACTTATTAATGACGAAAGAAACAGATGCATTTCGCAATAATATCAAACTTCCTTTATCTTTTATGATGAGTCATCAATGGTTTCTATTCATAGAGAGAAACAAAAAAAATGTTTTCTTTTGCGTTCTGTCATTCTGTATTTAAAAAATATACGAAATAAAAAAGCAAAATTTAATATAAAAAATTTGCTTTTTTTAATTTAGTCTTTTGACAATTCTATAGAATATATTTAATAATCCAACAATAATTTATCATGTTAGACCAATAGTTAAACACAGAAGCTACGGTAACATACATGTAACTATGATCTAATTTCGTTTGCAAGAATTTAGCTAAACCTTTTAATGCAAAGAACGCATAAATCAAAATTTGCGAAGGTATTTAACGAAACTAAGATCAAAAGTTGTTTAAATAACGAGAGTTAAAAATTTGTTAAATATTAAGTTGAAATACCGTGAAATGATACTCTCAAAACAGTGACTAATATCACAAAAGTACCGAAATAATTTTTAAAAAAAGTTGATCATGCAAATATCTATGTAAGACTAAGATCATTTAGAAAACCTATCGAATAATTCTAATTTCCAAATCTATAAAAAAA